TATATATGTAGTATTTTGCAATTTAATTCTGTGGAGACCATGGTGGAGACTATCTTTTCTAGGCCCATGTAGTTTTGCTGTGTTGATTCATTAGTTTGCTATTTATAGGGCTTTGTGTGTTTTTGTCAGTGTGGTTTGCATCCTGGCTTCAGTATAATTCAAAAACTCAGTTTGAGTTAAACCACATTTGACTTTTGTTTAAAAGAAGTGTTTCTCTCTTTCTTTTTGTGCATCTGCCATCTTTTTCTATTGCCTTGTGCTGCAGAGTAGAAAGCTTTTAAAGATCTGGCAGCACGTTTGCAGTAGATAAAAAAAAAAAGTACTAAGGAAATAAACAGTGAGTAAATGCAGAACCATTCTGTCCACATGTAAAGAGTTACATAGAGCCAAGAGAAATGAGAGGATACAGACTTGTGCTTAAGAAATTGCACATCCATAACATACTAGTGGCATCCAGGACATCAGCAGAAAGGAGGAAGTTAACTTTGGCCTAAATCTCTCAGGAGCACCTTGGTGTTTCTAAGTAGAGATTAGATCAGAAATGCTTTGTGCACCATTAACCACTGGAATTTTGCAACTAGTCAGAAACCCTATTTATGTTTGTTTACTTAAGCATGCTAAGCAATTTCTAGAGGAGAGAAAAGATTCAGAGACTAGGAAGGGCTCCTAGGGACATGGATGAAAATGGGATATATTTTTTAGGAGGATGGTTGGGCTCAGATAAAATTGTTCAGCCCATCCCAGAGCTTTGCCAGCTTTTATAAGCAATAGCAGCACATTTGAAGCCTCTGGAGGCGGTGGGGAGCTGGGTTCCAAGAATCTATGCTATACCACTCCTGTGGAGCCAGGCAGGCAGGATGTGCAGGCCAAGGCAGGGTGCTCCTCTCCTTCCACACTCTGCTGCTAAATCTTAGGGTTCATAGTCATCAGTGACCACTACTTTGGACTTGTTTGGGCCATGGTGTTTTGGCCCAAAACATTTGCCTATTATGTTCTAGGCTGGTATTCCATTAGTGCATTTAATCATGACTTAATTAGAGCTATGCTATTTCATTTTTAGTCCCTGAGCTCAACTCTCTCTAGCAATGCTTGAAGGAATGGTTTGCTGTCTTGCCTGGTTTGGTACCATGTGGATGGTCCCAGATCAGACTAGTGGAGACAGGAACTTCTGGGGCAGTAGACTCATTGGAGGATGGGATTGTCATGAACAAAATTCCTGAGTATGTTTAGAAGTCACCTACATTGGAATTTTTATTGGTAGTTATCAATCTAATCTCACCAGACACTGTGTGTGCTCTTTGTTAGAGCAATTAAAAACAAGTAAAACTCTGAACACAATGACATCAGATTTCAGTCACCGAGCAAAGACTTTATGTGGATAAACTGATATAATACAATAACACACCATTCTGGTTCTGTTACCTCCATTAAGCAGGAAAATTAGGATACAAAAAAATTTAAGCAACTTGTCTGAGTCACAGAGCTAATAAATGGAAGAGCCAAGCATCGAACTCGAGGCTGGCTCTGGAGCTCACGATCTCAATCTTTACGTTATAAGTTATTCATTTCTAGAGAGCTCGGCTGAGTCGTACTTTAAAGTAAATTGGAGAAGATACAGAAGAAATCCTTTTTTAATGTTTGGCGGAATGTTCTTAATTAAGGGTCAGGCTTTGGTTTTGGCCCACCCTAGTCTTCCTTTTAATATTACCGTTTGGAACTATTTCTAAATGTTGTGGATAACCGTGGCCAACTCTCGCAAGGAGCCTGAGAATCTTCAGGTATCCCGAGTGCCCTTTGTCTTCACATTCTCCACAAGGTTCATTTTACTAAGGATATTTTGTTTCTCTAACATATAATAACTTCATGCTATTTGTAAATATTGTAGGCTGGCACTTTAAAGAAGTTTGCTTTCTAGTTTTGGAAAATATTTCAGCATGCTTCGGGGGCGGGGCGAGCATGGCAGGCCCGGGGATCGAATCCCTGACCCCTGCACCTGCTTGCAAGTGCTTTAATCTGCTGAGCTATTTGGCCAGCCCTCAAACTTTTCTTTTCAATGAACTAATAATAATTAGTAGTATAATTATCTTAGTTAATATAAGTATCTATTTCCCTTCCTTCCTTTTTCCTTTTCCCTCTCCCAGTTGTTCTTTTTGAGCAGTTACTTCCCATTTCACAATATCCATTGTAAATTTTGGATCTTATATCTTATTTATTCTTTAAGTTTCTTACATGGAGGAGATAAAACAATGTTTACATATGTGAGTAGTGTTTATTTCACTTACGAATATGGTCTCAAAGTGCATCCATTTACTGATAAAAGCCTCTATTTTATCCTTTTTTATAGCTGAGTAGTACTCCATTGTATACAAATACCACATCTTTTTTAACCATTCCTCAGTTGGTAGGTAGTTGGGCTGTTTCCAAGATTTAACTATGACAAATTGTGCTGCTGTAAACACAGGTACAGATATATTGTGGTGGTATGATGGTTATAGTTCTTCTGGGAAAATATTGAGAAAGGGAACAGCTGCATCGAATGAGACCTCTAATCCTAGTTTGTTGGGAATCTCCATACTGATTTCTACAGGGCCTGCACCAATCCACACTCCCCCAACAGTGGAGAAGGGCTCCTTTTCTCCACAGCCCTGCCAGCATTTGTTATTGGTTGATTACTTGGTGATGACCAGTCTCTCTTGGGTGAGATAGAATATCAGTGTTTTAATTTACATTTCTCAGATGACCAATGGTGTTGAACTTTAAAAATTTATTTATTTATTCATCATTTGTATTTCTTCATCTGAGAAGTGTTTCTTCATCTCAGATGCCCATTTTTTGATTGGGTCTTTGAGTTTAGGGGGCTGGTTTTTTTTTTTTGTTTTTGTTTTTTTTTTCTTTTTCTTAAGTTCTTTATATGTTCTAGATATAAGTCCTTTTTCTGAGGGACAGTTGGAAATTTTTTTTCCCACTCTGTGGGTTGTCTTTTCACTCTTTTGATGATTTCTTTTGATGTGTAAAGACTTTTTAATAAGATCCTAGATGTTGATTATTTGAAGTACTTTCCATGCAGCTTGAGTTTTATTCATGGATTCTCTGCCTTCCCCTATGTCTTCAAGATTTCTATCTACTGTCTTTTAATAGATTTAATGTTTCTGTTTTAATGTTTAGATCTTTGATCCTTTTTGACTTTATTGTAGTTCATGGAGATAGACAGGGGTCTAGTTTTAGTCTTTCACATGGAAAGCTAGTTTTTTTCC